CGTGTGACACTGAAGACTGGAGTAATGATGCTGAAAATTCAGCTTTGCATCACAGGAATAAATAACATTTTAAAATGTATTAAAACGGTATTAAGTTATATATTATAAAATGGCTCATTTAAATTGTAATAATTTCACAATACTACTGTTTTTACTGTATTTTTGATCAAATAAACAGCCTTCGTGAGCATAAGAGACCTCTTACTAATTTATTTTATTTGTCTATTATTATTATTTATTTATTTTAGTTTTTATTATTATTTATTTTATTTAAAAAAAATTATATTTAGTTATTTTGTTTTTGTGTGTAATTATATTCTGGTAAATGTGTTTTGTTTTGTTTTTTAAATGAAACCATTGAAGACACTTGAATGAATTTGTTTCTCAGGATCTTAAAAAGTTTTTTTTTTTTTTTCAGATTTATGCATAAATACTTAAAATTAGTTTGGTTGAAAATTTAAATTATAGGCTACATGTGCATTTATATATATAATGAGTGCTGTCAAACAGTTAATCGCATCCAAAATAAAAGTTTTTGTTTTGGGCGCAAACACAAGGAATTTGTTGTGGTTTTACAGGAACTCTTGGTACACGCATACATACATACAAATAACCATATATATATATATGACACAAGATAGTTATAGAAGTTCACAGAACTGACTCAGCAACAGCTGAGTAAAACGGTTTCATCTGAGAATGTGGCACTTTAAGCATTATCGTATCGCATACCGAATATCGCATTATTTAATGAGTTATCGCATATCGCATTTTTTTTCAATATCGCACAGCCCTAATATATATATATATGTATGCATGTATGTGTATATCTTAAATATATACATGCATGTGTGTGTATTTATATATACATGATAAATATACACAGTACAGACACGTATATTATGCAAACAAAAACTTTTATTTTGGATGTCGTTAATCACGATTAATCGTTTGACAGCATATATGTGTGTGTGTGTGTATATATGTGTGTGTGTGTGTGTGTGTATATATATATGTATGCATGTATGTGTATATACACTCTAAAAAAATGCTGGGTTAAATATGGACAAACCCAGTGATTGGGTTGTTTTCAACCAACAGTTGGGTTAAATGTTTAACCCAACCTTCTGGGCAGTAGCCCAACCGCTGGGTCAAAAACAACCCAATCGCTGAGTTTGTCCATATTTTACCCAGTGCTGGGTTGTTTATAACATATATCATATATCATATCATATCATATCATATCATATATATCATATATTTTTTTGTTTATTAGATAGATGAAATGAACAAGCTATTGAAGGAATAAAGCCAACATGCATCCAGCATATTAGCTCCTTCAATACTGCACCTCCTAACACTTTTTTGTCATCATTCCTGTTCTTTGATTTAGTGTTTTGTTATATCACGGTTTCAAAAACAGTAAAATGTTTAGTTAGAAGTGCGCCATAAGCAAACAGTCCGTATCGGTGAACGCACACCTTTAATTTCCCCTCTCTGGGAAGTCAGCATGTGACATACTTAGATCTTCGCTCCCATCTCGTCAAAGGACGTGAGGAACAAACAAACGTTCCAATTAACTGCTTTGGGTTCCTGCGGAGGGAAGCGGGAAACCCCCTTCTTTCTATTTGCACTCACACACCCCTTCTCCACCTTCTCAGCATTCACAGGCCTCGCTCTCCATTCTCTTTCCCCGCAGGCCTTTCGCGGCTAATGTTTATTCATTTACCACTTAGAGGACGGACACAGCACCCTGTTAAAACTAAATCAAGCTCTATTCATGACATGATCCTTTTCGCCGGGCTCAAAGGGCCCCGGTCTGAGGGGGGCTGTGACCCTGAAGACACAGAGCAAGGGAGGGGTGGGTTTGATCCTATAGCCCTCTGAAAAAGACAGCACTGTCTGCCTTGGTGGTGATTAAGCCGACCAATGACGGCCGCGGCGGGAATTTAGAGGAGACGTGCTGGAGATTCAAATATGTCCCGCCCATTCAGAGCCGCTGGGATAATGGAAGAAAGGAGCGTTAGAGGAGGGAATGAAGGGATAGTGGGACGAGGTCGTTTCACGGCTCATGACTGATTGCCCGTCTTTTGATTGACGTCCAGTGTGGAGCTGAAGGGTGGGAAAGTTCTGGGTGGGGTTGATGTTGAGCTGTGAGAAATGAAGGTTAGGACATTGTGTGTGAGAAGAGAGGCTTTGGTGAGAAGCTC